CACACGTCTCAGTGTGCGCCTCTTGGTTTCTCTTTATCAAAGTAAAACATTCTTGCGGCTACATAATGCTGATAGATTGTTATATAGTGTTGGCCGAGATATCAGTGGAGACCACGATGTTGAATAACAAGGCTATACATTCAATGTTAACATGGATATCAGTTTCTCACTGATTAGGGAACATAGGGGCTTTTATGTATTCGGATTATCGTTTCAAGTTAGAGTCTTTTTAATGTTTAGAAGTTGGGTGTAAACATGACTCTGGGTTGTATTTTGGATAACGACTTCTTGTGTAATTATGTGACATTATTTTAAACTTCTTGTATTCCATTTTCAGAGCTATATTTTTCGTTCTAGCCCCTTTGTTAGGCGATTACTGAGATACTGAGTAGATAATATTATATGTATGTGTGTGTGTGTATGTATGTATGTATGTATGTATGTATGTATGTATGTATGTATGTATGTATGTATGTATGTATGTATGTATGTATGTATGTATGTATGTATGTATTGTATGGATGGATGGATGGATGGATGGATGGATGGATGCATGTATTGTATGTATGTATGTATGTATGTATGTATACACGCGCACGCGCGCACGCGCGCACGCACGCATGAGATTAACAGGATTATCGTTATACACAACTAGCTTACATTATAGGTGATGAAGGGCTTTCATCTTCATTTTCATCTTCTATGTTGTGCGTGCCGCTGTAAAGCCCAAGCTGGTAATAATGCCCATCTCCTATCCCATCCAGCAAAAGACCGGGCCCGCGAAAAAAAAATGAATTTTTTTTTTTTTAATGAAAATTTAAATTTAAATTTCAAATTTCTATCAATTGCAGTTGTCCTTAAATTAATTTATGATGTAGATCGAGTCGTTTGCCTTCGAAAACATGTTTTGTTGTAGTTTATATTATGAAGAACGATCAAGCTCACCTGTTTTTATTTTAGTTTTGTATGGCTGTTGTTGTTGTTGTTTTTGTGAGTGTGCACGAGAGCAAATATTTGTTATCATATCAATCAATATATTTTTCAATATCACAAGAAATACTGAGATCAGAAATATTTTATCATTTTACATTGGAAAACAAATTCAGGGTGGGCAGATGTGAAAGTGAGAAAAGGAGACTTAGCGCCTCCGGGATCAACCATTTTATACTTGGTCCTCTACCTCCACAGTAGGATCCCCAACAGCGTTGGCGTCACGCACATTATTGTAGAATGCTCATATTATACCTGCGGGCAAACATGGACAAAACATACAAGAAGAATTGACACTGATACAAATAGAGTGGTGCAAATGAAAATGATCTGCAGTCTCCAAGTTTACTTAAACAGAATGATTGAGAACCCATTGATTCATTGTCGGTTTCTGTATCAACATGGCGTCATTATATTGGTAAGTGCACCAGTGCTGTCTGCCTGTTACGTTTGTTTAGGCAGCTATGGAGTAGTGATATTGCTTGACAATGAACCGGATATCGCATTATCCCTCCGCATGTAGTTCCTACATGATAAGCAATTCACACAGTTCATCGTCTACAATTTGATCTCGGGCAATAAGTAGTAAGTGTTACCCCTGGTGGCAGATTGTGTCGTGTAATCTAATAGTCACGTATACTTATGGAAGAAGTGGAACAAGTTTCAACACGGATTCCTTCCGTGTGGCCGCCCTGAAGGTTAAAGCGTTGATTCGTCTTGCCAAGGATTCCGTGTTCGAATCCGACACAGGAGTACAAAGTGTGAGGCTCATTTCTCGTGTCGCTCACTACGATATTGCTACACTATAGTGTGCAGTGCACAACCCTGTGGACTTAAAAGAGCCCACGAATCCGTTGGTATATGACCAGATGGCGGCCACACCTAGTTGCGGGTACAGCAACGTGCAGTAAACTTGGACAAAGTACTGTGACTATGTGTCCCAGTCCACCCAGCTGTGAATGGGTACCTCGTAAGGATGGGAAAGCAACACTAACTCGGTGCGCCTAGTGGCTGCAAGAGTTGTATGATCCCCGGGGAGTTGAGATTGATAATACGCGTGCCGGTGAGATTGACATCCAGTGATCGAGGGAAAAAACAAAGCACCTTTGAGCAGCTGAGCTGGATATCGGCGCTATACACATGTGTGTGTGTGTGTGTGTGTGTGTGTGTGTGTGTGTGTGTGTGTGTGTGTGTATGTGTGTATGTATGTATGTGTGTGTATGTGTGTGTGTGTGTGTGTGTGTGTGTGTGTGTGTGTGTGTGTGTGTGTGTGTGTGTGTGTGTGTGTGTGTGTGTGTGTGTTTGTATGTATGTATGTATGTATGTATTGCTAAAGGCATCCTCGATAATCTCCATGGATATACGATAAATCTCCACTATACCCTGGATGCATCTACGGCTCGGCTCGATAATTTTATTACCTCCCTTGTTTATTTTTTTATGCAATCAGGTGTCTACGCGGGGAGGTTGAGCGTACCAATCACAACTCTCTTTCGCTTTCTAAATTATCTAACCGATTAAACTTGGCAACACAATAATATATTGGCAGATGTACTCTGAAAGAGGTAGGAGGAGTTCTTGCGCATGTATTTTTAAGGTTTCAGACCCTGTCTATTTGTCTGTATGTTGTCCCCCCAAACCTGAGTCGCACTGCGAACAAACTTTTACGGCTGCGACCGCTATCTTTGTTGACACTGGCAAGCTCGGTTGTAACGGCGGCTTATCTGATTGGTTACTGTGAGAATGCGGAGCCAGCAAAGGGAGGTAATAAAATTATCGGGCCGAGCCGTAGATGCATCCAGGGTGTAGTGGAGATTTATCGGAACGTGTACCATGGAGATTATCGAGGATGTGCTAAAGGCGGCGACTCACATACACCTACTTTTTCAGTTAGTAATTGCATGTGTTTTTAACTAAATGCGGCATAAAACGATACTCACTTAATCAAACTCTATCCAAGAAACTTAATGCAACTGTACTTTAGATGACATGGAACAATCGCTCTACAAAAATGTCAAGAGAATCAATTGCAGGTGATTCTATGGGATGTGCATATCTTCACATCTGGGTTCCATTAACCGAAAATTTGATATGCGCCACTGTCTGTCTAAGGTTTCCTGATTCGCTGGTAATAGAATGATATTGTTGTAATAATTTGATGAATGATGTCGCCGATATCGTATCGAAGTCGTATAAGTTCCGTGTTAATGATTAAATAAACAGTCTGTGAATTTATTATCGTTGCCATGAACATGTTAATCATATTTGCACAGTATGCACACGGACGTTTATACCCATAAACGCAAAACATATTGAAATCAATTATTAGATAAATACATTTAAATCATGCCAGTGCTAGACAGATGTTTTACAACCGATCTGTTCCAGATTAACAACGGGGATTTGCCGGAAGCTAATCTGGAATTAAAATTTTAAAAATGACGAAAAAATATGTGGGATGCATGTTACTTAACACAGGCGGATCCAGAGAGGGTGTGTGTGTGTGTGTGTGTGTGTGTGTGTGTGTGTGTGTGCGTGCGTGCGTGCGTGCGTGCGTGCGTGCGTGCGTGCGTGTGTGTGTGTGCAGGGGTGCGCACTCCCTATTTTGTCCTGAAAGTTTATTAAATGACCATTGAAACTCTCGTGAAAATGAAGTGTGCACCCCTCCTTTCTCAATAGAGTGCACACACACACACACACACACACCCCACCCCTTTCTCAAAAAGCTGTATCCGGCCCTGCTTAATATCTTAAAGATCCCTGTGGTAGAAATTTCAGCAAATCAGAATTCGACGTGCAGAGTTGCGTCCCTTGGGCACTCCAGGAAGCTATGTTTGATCGTGGTTCGAATCCTAATTATTGTTCCTCGTTTGTCAGACCATGCCTGTTCTTGTTGATTCCTTGAAAATGGTAAACTTCTGAGACCTGCATCCCTTTTATTCCCAGATAAGGTGACATGGCGTGGTATGTCTTGAACGGTGTATCGCTGAATGATGTGGTACTACTTACTGCTTCTAACAAAGCGTTACGCGTTTAGGTTGTGGACGCAGGCAGCGTTAATAATGAATGAAACACGAGTATATTACAAATTGGAAGCTGTCTCTGAAGAAAGTTATTAAGTGACATCATGAAATCGATAGGTTGTGGTATAAATAAATGTCTTTATGCATGTATGTAAACAGGTGCAGGCTAATGTGCGTGTTCTATTGCGAAGTACCATGGCTGACAGGATGGCAACCGGTCAAAGTACAGAACATTGCGGTTTAACATTTGGGATCACTGTCATACGTACAAGAAACTAAGTAGATTCTAGATATATACGTGACATTCCACAGCTAAATTAGCATTTGGATTTAATGTTCACAGAGGTAAATCAAGGTTTGAAATGATCTTCAGCAACTCGAATCCCAGTTGTGTAGATTGATCATTATGTTTATCACTGTATTTTCTAGTCCCATCTGAAATATCTTTAGACCGCCGCCATATTGTTATATGACTTTTTGGAGTGAGGTGTTAAGAAAATTAAAAAAAATTAAACTTATTTGGGCAGCGCTTGTTACAAATCAACTGCTGTGACACTTCATGCCCTTCTAGAGTTGGCATTTGTTGGAAACCCTTAAGTATTTTTTTACTAACACACTCTGAACATGCGCAGTCTTACGTCACTTCTGGTTGAGTTCTGATGGTAATGTTGACATTTCACCCACTAGGCCGACACTCAGAAGCTTGAGAGTTGGGATCCTTTTTTTCAAAGTTGGGACCCCCATAATGAATAACCATAGGTAAATACCTTGGCAAGATTACAGAATACCGGATACCTATCCGCCATTTTTACTTTGATTGCGCATTCATTTTTGCGCACTTCCGTTTTGTTTCCTTAGCAACGGCACGCCATGAATGAAGGCTGTGTTGAAGCAGCGTTCAATATTAAATATTAAATATTAAACAATATTAAGCTAAAATACCTTTTATGTGTAAGATTATGTAATTGTCCGTCGTTGCTGTTGCAGGTCGTTGTCATGCTGATGGTGGTCGTGTTGTTGTTCGCCTTCTGCTGGGGCCCCATTATGCTGAACAACGTGCTGACTGCGTTCGGCGTCCTTGGACATCATCACATCGGTTGGCTGAAGTACATGCGGATGGCGTTCTGGTTGATGGCCTACATCAACAGCTGCGTCAACCCCGTCGTCTACGCTTTCATGTCAAAGAACTTCAGACAAACCTTCAAATACGCGTTGTGCGCATGCGTGAAGGGAAAAGCTTTTGTCCGTGCCTACCGTTTCAGCAGATCCTTCAACAGCACTCGGACGTCGGTGATGCAGACGAATGGCCGTGTTGTCTATCCAAACGACAACGTCAGCAGTGGCGTCTCCGTTAACATGGCTCCTCGTGCTGTGACGTCATCGGAATATATTGAGTTGGAGAAACTGACAGAGTAGAACTGGATACGTGTTAGTGAGGGTAAAGGAAAACAATATTAACAGATGGTGATTATGATGACGATCGTGATGAGGATGATGATGATGGTGATTATGATGATGATGAAATCATTATTGACAGATTCACAGTTTGGAGAAATTATATCACCTTTTCCACTGATTTGCGAACGAGACTGACGAGATAGGACTCGTGTTCACATACTTGATAACTCTACAGACAATATTTATTTATTTATTTATTTATTTATTTATTTATTTATTTATTTATTTATTTATTTATTTATTTATTTATTTATTTATTTATTTATTCTTTTAGTTAGTTATTCATTTAAATTTTGTATCAAGTATCATCTTTTATTTACTTATTTTTAACGAAATGTGGATTGTTCATTGGCTGTGTAAAACGGATCCGCTTGGATAGGTTTGATACGGGTATGTCATATTTTCATTGGGTTAAATGCCTTGACTGTGTTGTTTCTTTTTGTTGTCATTATTATTGTGGCGTAATGTGCTACACCAACCGTCTCCACACTGCTGATGCCTTGACGTCATGTACACCACCGGCATGGTCTCACTGACGCCAAGACTTGATGTACATCGCCTACAGATGATGTCTTGGAGGAACTCATGTAATGTCAGTTGTGAAACAGACACAAGTTCCAAGACCGCAACATTCTTTATTACCAGCGTATCCTCTCTCCATTACACAATGATATATACCCTGAACCGATTCATCACTGCATCTTCGTTTTGAGTCTGGGCCGAATCGAAGCCTGCGGCGACATCGCCATTACTCGACCGCGTTTCTAAAATACAGTAGGTCGTCTGTATCATAAATTAAGACTTTCCATGCCCTTGAATATAAAATGCAGGTGAAAAAACATTTGAAAAATGGACTTAACCAAAAACATTACAAACGTTTAAAAAACGGCACAGGCTTAGAAGTCCAAAACAGAAGTACGACACCCGTATCAAATACACAACCAACGAAGAACAGTTTATTGTGTGTTACATTTTTAGACACCATCAAAAAGTGTGTATACTTTCTTGGCTTCGGCAGTTCATATGCTTATGCATATATCATAAGTATATCGAGAGATCGTTCACACGAAGCCATGGTTTGGAATGAAGATCTACGCGGAATCTGTTCAAAAAGTGATATATTTAATTTCTTGATTTCAAGCTTTTGAGCGAGAGACTTAATTCCTGTTTTTAGTGCTATGGGTGTGGACGTGTCGAATCCAAAACGAACCTATAGGGTGTTAATCGTAATACAATGAGATCCCCCAGATACACGAAGATGGGAGATTGAGATTCAAGGTTGATGTAAGGCTGCGTTTGTGAGACGAGCATTAATAATCTAGGTGGGTGTTTTTGTATAACATTGCCATATGCACAGATGGACGAGAATCAGAATGGTACCAGATGAGTAAGAGAAGGGTACCATATAGGTACCAGATGGGTTCTAGATGGGTAACAGATCGGTATCAGATGAGTAACAGAAGAGTACAAGATTGGTAAGAGACGGTAACATATGGGTACCAGATGAGTAACAGAAGGGTACCAGAATGGTAACAGACCGTAACATATGGGTACCAGATGAGTAACAGAAGGGTACCAGATTGGTAACAGACGGTAACATATGGGTACCAGATGAGTAACAGAAGGGTACCAGAATGGTAACAGACGGCACTATATGGGTACCAGATGAGTAATTAATGGGTACCAGATTGGTAACAGACCGTAATATATGGGTACCAGAATGGTAACAGACCGTAACATATGGGTACCAGATGAGTAACAGAAGGGAAACAAGATTGGTAACAGACCGTAATAAATGGGTACCAGATTGGTAACAGACGGTTATATATGGGTAACAGAAGGGTACCAGATTGGTAACAGACCGTACTATATGGGTACCAGATTGGTAACAGACCGTAACATATGGGTACCAGATGAGTAACAGAAGGGAAACAAGATTGGTAACAGACCGTAATAAATGGGTACCAGATTGGTAACAGACGGTTATATATGGGTACCAGAAGGGTACCAGATTGGTAACAGACCGTAATATATGGGTACCAGATTGGTAACAGACCGTAATATATGGGTACCAGATGAGTAACAGAAGGGTACCGGATAGGTAACAGATGGGTATCAGATAGGTAGCAGATGGTGACATATAGGTAACAGAATGGTTCCAGATTAGTAAGGTTTCCATGATCGAACAAGACTTGATTTGGATGTATGCCCATTGAAGTACAAATCGCGTAAAATTGAGTCTTCCGCCACTGAGTTGTATATGGGAGTGCCCACCATTGACCCTCGGGATCTCAAGATGAAACGTACTATCAATCAACGTAATTAGATCCCAAATTCAACGGTATTGTGAACATACCATTCTGGAAACTATGGCAATGTTGGTCTGTCATAGAGTGTTTAAAGGTGGACATCGAGCGATATCAAATGGCTGGCGACTTTATACACGTGCTATTAAATAAAAATACACAATAAATGTCCCTTCACAGGAATGTGTTATTTTTACTAGGTATAACTTATGTGTAGAAAAACAAAGTGACGTCAGCACGTGAAATATGTTTCGCTATGTCAAAAACAGCGCTCGAAGAGAACGCTCCATGGTCACCTTTAAGCAATCAAACAGAACAAACATATTTTTTCAGGAATGACACTGAAGGTTGAGGAAAACCAATGTCAGTGTCTCGGAGCATCTGTGTATGTATGATTTATATATGTTGAAATCAAAATGCTTTTCGTCAGTGTCAAATACGTTGAACTGGAACAGGATGAACTATACAATGCAGTGCCTTCAGGTGGCAGCGCTTGGTCATGTGACTGTGAGCAAGGACACGAGCCTATGACTGCATTTTCTCTGTCTGTTGTGATTAAAGTCATGTGATACAATATACCACGTGTTTGTATTTTTAACAAAAAACAATGGAAACTGTTTGATTGAATCACCTAAAGCCATACAAATTTAATCACTGGGATGATTTTCAGAAATGTGTGCATGTTGAGAGGCAATCAATATTTATTTTGTTTTGGAAAAGAGGAACTATTGTATTTTAGCAGCGGGGGACACGAGATATGGGCTTCACACATTCTCACATGTGGGGAATCGAACCCGGGTCTTATTTTGTGGTTATTTTTAGGGGCTGAGGCGTCTTGTTCATGTTATGTTACTGCTGTAAACGTTTCCACCTGTGAGAAAAGGGGTTGGTTATTTATATCAATTCAGTGTGTGGTGACAGGGTAATGGTTTATTTCACCCCAAACACGTTCACCCCAGCAGTTTCACCCCAGGCTGTTTCACCCGGGTTGTTTCACCCCATACAGCTTCGCCCCATTTAGGGGTTGTTTCACCCTAGCAAATAATTATTATTATTAACTATATCTAAACATTGTACCAATATTTTATTCAACTATGTATAGTGTCGAAAAAGCAAATTCAGATTGTTTGAATAATTATATCAGTTCATTTTGGCTGTGTTGGATCGGATCACGTCCTTCAGTGACGATAGCAAGTGAGGTGAGATGAAATTGGGTTTATCGTCGTGCTTGAGAATATTTCGCTCATATGATGACGTGCATGCGTGTGTGTGTATGTATATGTGCGACTGCTTGTACTAGCCCACACTGAAGCTGGTTTTATAGTGCTAGCCCACTGAGATACCATGCCGCAGTGAAGCATGAATACCCCACTCAGACACATTATACTGACTCCGAGCCGACCAGTCCTTGTTGTACCCATTAATGCCGAGTGCCAGGCAGGGAGCAACAAGTACCATATTTTAACGTCTTTTGGTATGACGCGGTCGGGGATCGAACCCGCGACCTTCCGCTCTCCGGGCGGACGCTCTAACCACTACACCACGGAGGCGGTTGACGATAGCAAGAAGCTGCCTTGGACAGGAATGAACTTATGGAGAGTTCCCTGTCTGTGTGCTGTGTCCAGAGGTTCAGAAGCTTCTCGTGTATCTTCTGGAAATTCTGTCTGTTGTCTCTTCATAGAAGACCATTCTGAACCAGGCGCCTTTGGGGTTTCACTTGGTCAGCCTCACTTCTCAAGAGTGGCACAAAAACATAAAATGGCAATCCTGCACCACCACAAAACCCCTAATATTGGATGAATTGACCTAGTTTGGAATTGGGGCTAAACAACCCGGGTGAAACTACTTGGGGTGAAACGACCCGGAACCGGTGACAGCGACCAAGTGGATCGGGTAGTCAGCTCGTGTCATCGTACCCGAATGATGTGGATCGTTACTTCCAATGTCATTTACTGGATGTTCTGGTCCACACTTGATTACTTACAGGCTGTTGTGATAGACATAAAGTATTACAGAGGGTGGCGTTAAACGCGTGCAGCGTCAAACAACAACAAAGACAATTTTCAGTCTCATGCAAAATGTGCATTTCAGGAGCTGAAGACCGCCTCCGTGGTGTAGTGGTTAGAGCGTCCGCCCGGAGAGCGGAAGGTCGCGGGTTCGATTCCCGACCGCGTCATACCAAAAGACGTTAAACTATGGTACTTGTTGGTCCCTGCCTGGCGCTCGGCATTAATGGGTACAACAAGGACTGGTCGGCTCGGAGTCAGTATAATGTGTCTGAGTGGGGTATTCATGCTTCACTGCGGCATGGTATCTCAGTGGGCTAGCACTATAAAACCAGCTTAAGTCTGGGCTAGTACAAGCAGCTGCACATACACATACACACGCATGCACGTCGTCATATGAGCTAAATATTCTCCAGCTCGACGTTGAAACCCAATTTCACCTCACCTCACCTCACCTCACCTCACCTCACCTCAGGAGCTGAAATACATAATGAAAATAGCATTGGCTTCATCAAAATCATATTGTTTCGTGGAGAGGTATCGATTGGTTTGATTGTCTGGCCTCATCTTCGAAAGGAATGAGTGAGGTGGGTTTAACACCGCTGAAACAATATACCAGATATGTCAGGCTTTATCAGCCTAATGTGAGTCGACCCGTGAAGATCCGGGTTAGAATTGATCTTCAGTAACCTATGCTTGTCGTAAGTGGAGAGTAACGGGATCGGGTGGTCAGGCTCGCTGACGTGGTTGACACATGTCATCGGTTCCAAGTTTCGATTATTTACAGACCGCCGCCATACAGCTGGAATATTGCTGAGGGAGTGAGTAAGTGAGTTTAGTTTTACGCCGCACTCAGCAATATTCCAGCTATATGGGGGCGGTCTGTAAATAATCGAGTCTGGACCAGACAATCCAGG